TTCCCCTACTCTCCTTCTGAGCTTTTTCCTTTCTATGATCTTTCTTTTCCTTTTTATTTGCTCTCAACTTCTCACTTTTCGCTAGTTCCCAGTTTTCCTCTTCCAGTCCCTCACCACACTTTTTCTCCTCTCCCCTTTTGCCTTTTTTGTTGCATTTGCTCCATCTTTAATTTCTCTCCCGTGTGCCTTTCTTTCGTATCACTTGCTGCTTCCCTCTATATATAACTATTTAGCTACTTCATTTCCCTGAATCTCTTTACATTTCTACCTTAAAAGACAAAAAGTTAAATGGGAAAGGCAGACTTCAGTTAAATATTTATGCTGCATAATGGGCTGCTTGCTGTGTTACATACCTTCGTGTTATCCTGGCACAAACTGGCAGAGATAAAATGAAGGATGAAGGAGATAAAAGAAGTGTTGACTGTCAGGATCACCATGAAGGCACAGTATAGTGAAAAGTATTAACCTAGAGCTTCCTTGGGATTCCCTTTTGGGTTAATCTATGCTCTGAGTATTGGCTTTGCAATTGTAAAATGAAGATTTTGGGATTTCCCTCCCTCAAAGAGGCAGTGTGAAGACAAATATATTAGAAGTTTGAGGGGTGACCACATAAAAAACATAATGACACCACAGAAGAATGAAAAACAGTTAATTTCTGAGGGGAAACAGCTTGTCAAATAATTAAGCAGTAGACAAAAAATACTTAAGCGGTTTTCAAACTGTTTATTTTCAAATTCACTACCAGCTACTACAGAACACAATAAATTTTATTTCCCATATGAGCTCTTGGGACAACTAAATCTCAGCATACTATCAAAATATTTTTTGAGATACATTTCCTTTTCTACTCAGTTTTGGAAGATAAATATTTTCTAAGACCAATATATCATCCAGATAATTAATAATAATACAGAAGAACTGGATAAATGGTTTCTAGAAATCAGCTATCAGTTTTTAAAATGTTGTAGTTCTGAAAAGAAATACTGAAAATTGAAACTTGATTTAATGCAGCATTCGCAGGACATTTTATTTGTTCCATTTTTCTACAATGACATTTTCAGAGTAACCAGTTAACACAAAGTGAATTTTGTACATGTAGTTCAGAATTCACTTCACAAAATAAATATTAAGTGAATAATCAAGGACGAAGAGTTAGTGAAATAGCATTGGCCTCAAGAACTTCTTTCAATAGCTCTTCTGACATCTCCTAACATTTCAGTAGCATTTACAGAGAAAACATTTATCTCACTGCTGGAAAAAAAGAAAAGATGTGGCAATGTAGAAAAGAACCTCCAGTTATGAAGTAAAGTGGTGACCGAGCTTTGTTGCAGATTAGGCATTGTTCATGCACCATAGACGTTCGAGCCTTGGTCCTCTGAAGTCAATGATTATCCTCCCACTGAGTCAGCGGGAGCAAGTTTTTCACCCTAACTTCAGATTTGAGTTTTTGAAAGCCTTTATAAACAAATACTTGAAGTTCCTCAGTTTACCTGCAAGAGATACCTTAGTTGAGCCTCTATTTAAAATTTAGAGTAATCTGATTGACTTAAATCTGCATAACTACTGTCAGAACTAGGAATTCAGGGTTTGGTGTTGGCACTGCAATCCCTGTAAAATTGGAGAAGCATTGCGGGCAATGCCTATGATATTCTTGCTGAAAGAAAACAAGTTCCTTTACTCATACTTTTCCTGGCACAACAAATGAAGCAAGACTATTTGAAAATGTTTTATTTCAGCACATAATTTGTTCCTTAGCATTTTCTTCATGTTCACTGCTGTTGGTTGTTTGCTTTCAGAATTAATTTTGATAAAGCATCATCATATTACAATGAATAATCCAGGAGTGGCCAAAATAATAGATTAATATTTAGTCATTCCTTTATTTTTCTAGCTTCAGTGATTCTAATGATTGGTAGTATAAATTTAGTGACAAAAATTCCCCATAGTCATTATACAGATAAATACAGTGCCTCCTGGTTTGTAATTGATAGTAACACCACCTTTCTAGATTCTCTGAACATACTATAAATGGTATTTTAATGTCTAACATAGACAGTTGCAAGTATTTTATGTACATTATTAATAGAATTTTGCCATTGGAAAGTATTCAGAAATAAGTCTATATCTAAAAATAGGCAATTGTGTGTTTTGGGAAACAAAATGCAGTGAGTCAGCCTTATATAATGAATATTTATTTTTGTCTTTATCATGTGCTGAACACCACATTCAGGCTTGAACTGTAGGGTGTGTACATGTATCTCTGCCTTTCTGAGTTGGAAGGTTCATTTAATCCTGACCCCAGAAGATAGTTTCTCATGAAGATGTCTGGCCATGGCTTTAAAGGGAAGCTCATACAGCTTTTGTGTCCCACAGCAATGGCACACTTCAAAATTGCTGAGGGCTGGCCACAAAAAAGGGATCTTGAACTATGTTTTCTCTTTTATTCTAGTGGTCTCTGCTAAGTGACTTCTTATGGCCTGGCACTTGGATGACTTTCCTTTCACTTTTGTGCATTTACGGCTGTTAATCATAGTCCTTGCTGTTCTCCGATGTTAACTGAGATTATGTAAATAATTAAATAAGGACAATAATTGCACATGTCTTATAAAACATGAATCATCTCCCCTTGTAGGAAAGAGCTTGCACAAGCGAGAGAGCATGACTGGGGGGGAATGACCAGCTTTGGCTTGAGAGGAATAGGCACTGGCTTTTTGAAAAGGCTGAGAGGAGAAAGACCAACTAAAGCCACTTTTGAATCACACTTGATGACCCAGGGAATTCCTAAAACTGTCATACAAATAAACCGCTTATCCTGTTTCCAAGCTTTCCTCAAGAACAAATGCACTGAGGCAATTCCAAGAATTTCTGAAGAGTTAGAGACAAAACATATTAAATAAAAGTAGGAGATGATGGGAAAAAATGGTGAATTGTTTGCTTTAAAGTAAAGTAGCTGGAAGAATTTTTACAAAACTCTTTGGACAACCTCCCTCTGTCCTCAGAGATTTATATAGGATAAATAGAACAAATACTGTTCCTGCATGTTTGTTTATCTGTGAAACTTCTCCACACAAAAGTAATGATACCCTTTCATTGACATCATCCAAGTAATAATATCCTTCTGACTGTGTCATAGGGATAATAACAAGCTTTCAAGTACTTCAATGAGTAACATATTTTTGACATTCTACATAAAAATAAAAAGACTCCTTAAAAATACATACCTCCTATTTGTTCTAGCACAAATCTCAGTGTCAATAAATTAAACTGTTGTGGATTCAAGTGCAGAATTTGACCCATGGTACCAAAGAAGTAATACAAGTTCTAAGAGACTAGTTATTTCCTAATTTTTCTTAATAATTTTGTAATTATGCATTTATTTTTTTTAATAAACTTTTCATCACTATTCCACAGGACAAGTGTACATTAGGAGACAAAGATAGGAACAGGGTAGTCAATAAATTAAACTGTTGTGGATTCAAGTGCAGAATTTGACCCATGGTACCAAAGAAGTAATACAAGTTCTAAGAGACTAGTTATTTCCTAATTTTTCTTAATAATTTTGTAATTATGCATTTATTTTTTTTAATAAACTTTTCATCACTATTCCACAGGACAAGTGTACATTAGGAGACAAAGACAGGAACAGGGTGACATACAAGGCTTATCAGACCTCCTCTCTCAAGTTGAATTGGATGTTACTTATCATTCAGTAAACTAGCCTTGAGAGGTCACTGTTGCTCATGCAGGACAGAGGCATTAATGCTAAGATACTACATAGAAAAATAGTTTAGTTAAGCAGTTAACTACCAGGCTTTTTACTCTATAATCCAGTCTTATGTTGACATGCAAAGACTTTTTCATATGAAGGTTGCGTGAAATTGTTCATAATGAAGATGTAAACTTTCTTCTTTCAAATCATTACTTTAATTACTTTTATTGATATATATTCATTAGAGTACTCTCATTAGATTGCTTCTTGTCATAATGTTTTATCGCTAATGTGAAATACATTGCAGTGTTGATCTTTTTATTAAGCCAATATCTTTTAAAGCTAAAGATCTAGCAAGTCGTACAGGAAGTTAACTCTGTGTCTGTTTATTGAACTTGATTTACTTCATTGGGCTTTTAATATCATCAGATAAAATACAAAGATCAAAGAAATTTCCTGCCTAAGTGAACTGCATATTAACTTCTTCATGCTACCAGTGAGACTTCTTGTAACCCAACCAATAGAATAACTGCATTGCAGAGGCATGAATCTCAGGAATTAGACTTGCAGAAAAGCTGCAGTCGTTGGCTATAGCTTCTTTCAGAAGAAATTCTCTTTTCCATGACTGTGAGCTGTTAGAGTACCCATTTTACTCTGACTGTATTCCCGTCTGAACTCATAATATAAGCAGGCTTTCAAAGCTGTTGTAAACGGAGTTCCTTTTTTGCCTACTCATTTAAAAAACAAGTAGTAGAACTTGTCTTACATCAAAACCAAAATTCCCTAATTTGTTCTGTTCACGTGTTGAATTACATTCTGTCCATAATGTGAAATCATATTTCATCCATTTCCAATGATAGCTCTCTCAAACTCTATCATATCCTGTAAGCTAGATTTGATAGCGTTGAGACTGAACAGTATCTAACTGTGAGAAATTCCGGTTAAATTGGAGGAATCACTTGCAGTAACCGTTCAGGATGTGCATGTAATGAATGAACAAACCCATATATCTTTAGTATAAAATTATTTTCATGCTAACTGTCTCCAACACCTTCTTTCCTCTCAACATTTTAAATAGGGGTGATTTTGTACTTTTTGGCTATAAAGGTTATTTTCCAGTTTGCTTAGAGGCACATACTTTTGGAGTTAAAGCCCTGATCCTGCAAACATTTAAGCATATGCATAATTTTACCTAGTGACAAAAACTCTTTTATACATATATATGTACCCTGACTAACAGGGTAAAAGCATTTATAAGATTTGGGCCTCATTTGGCTTTCAGGAAATAATTTTACACTCCTCCAAATACTGCAAGCAGCCCTTTTATTGAGCAAACTATGCCTGCAAGGCTACAAAGGAAACCCAAAATAAAAACAGAGATATCTGCACATTTCTCTAAGAAGGATAGTTTTTTCCATTTAAGTTTTAAATGGAAGAGAGAAGGAAGAAGAAAAGTCATAGCAGCACCTGTTACACTGCCTGTTAAACCCATCAACAGGGCAAAATGTGGTATGAACATGGCCATCAGCAGAGTTAACAGGAGAAATGAGCCTCTTACACCCAGAGAAAATAGGGGAGACCTGTAATTGGAATGGTTGCCTCTAGAAATACAAACATATACAATTTCTGTGGCTGTAAAAAAGGGCAAAGGGTAAGAAAGAAGAGCCTTGGTTAAGAGACACAAATTCACTAGGGTTTGAAGGAATGATGGCAGGTTGTCAGTAATAACTTCCTTTGTCTCTTCACCCCAGGTCAAGAACGCAGTCAGTGCAAAGGTTGTTTTCAAGACACAAGCAAAAAAGTGAGTCCAATTCAGCATACATCTAAATTCCCCTGGGTTTTTCATGTTACCTTCAAGTGTGGGAAGAAATATTTGTGAAGTGTAACTGAAAATGATCACCCCTACAGAGACCAAGAAGTCCTCAAACTCAATGGAGAGTCTGAATTTTGCCCAGGACCACTGATGTATTTGTGTGAGACAGTAAGTCACCACTACAAGGATGATAATGAAATGGACTAAGGAGCAAAGCTGGCTGAGTTTGGAAACAATTTTGAGAGTCTTGATAAATACACAAGGCAGCAGTGTAACAAATGCAATTACAGACCAAGTTTTCTCAGTCATTGGTACATATGGAAAACTATGTGACAGCAAGTTCCCACTAACAACCAGATACAAAATACATGTCATGACCAGTTCCATCACTTGGGTCACGTTGACAACTATGCCACCTAGTTTGGGAGATAGCTTTTTGCAGCAGGCGTTTGCAATATCTTCATACGTGTCTCTCACTCTTATGAGCTGCCCATCTTCATTTTCTTCATACAGGCAAGTGATTAGAATTTTGCCTGTGTAACAGCATAATGCTGCAGCCAAGATAATAAGAAACAGGCCACTGTATCCACTGTGGAGAAGAGCATACGGCAATCCTAGGACAAATATTCCCTGAAAAGGAAGAAGAGAAAGAAAAGATAGCACAGAATCCCTGAGGCGAAGTGTTTACTGGAAGCCACACTGCCAAGCCTGCCCTCCACTGAACATTGCTTTCACCTAACTGCATGGTGGAAGCACTGCTATGTTCAGCTCAGTAAGTAACAACCATGAGAAACGTGTTTATTTATGATAAATGAAATTATCAGTAAAAATAGCTGCTCCTATTGACACACATGTAATGATAAGCTAGGAAAAAGAGAATGTGACTGAATGATAGAGTCAGGTTCCTAGTTAATATTTAACGCTGATGTGATTAGAAGCACATTTTAGAAGGTTCATATGCAGTTATTCAGTCAACACGCATATTAATGAAACAGGTTCGATATCAGTAAAATTAAGCAACTGTAGCATCATCTGTGCAAGTTTCATTCCAATTAAAAATAGCACTGTAGGCAGATCCAGTAATGACAATTCTCTGCAGTCTAAAAGCTGTTAACAGACCTCTGGAAAGCAAATGGCACGCGAGTGACATCAGACTTCGCTTGTGTTTCCTCTGGGGCTTCTGCATGCCTCACGCAGCCTTTGCTCTTGTTAAGTCCACTGCTGAAGTGATTCGTCTCACAGCTGAGATTCTAGACTGTGCAAACTTATTTAGGTGTTTAAAAATACATGTAAAGCGTATAGACATACTTTTCTCTAAAGAGTTTCTGAAAGGAACAGAATTATACTAGTTTTATCCAGTAAAAAACCCCCATTGCTTTCACAGAACACTGTGTGTATTTCTTTGTCTTTTACCTTCTTTCTTGTCTATATTTAAGGACAAATAACACTTTTTTATGTGGTTTAATTTCCATCGGCACAAAGCCAACAAAACCCTTGAACACTAGTCATTCATAAAAAGATCCAATTTAGCAAAGATGCTTCGCTGACATTTCTCTTTTCATGTGACAAAGCTGAAATTAAGCAATGCATGTTAGTCAGACTGGTCAGGCGTTTTTGTTCTTGATGGCTGAAGAAAGGTAGGGAGGAAACAAAATACAGTACTCTAGTTCTACAGAAATTTTTACTTCAATGTTTCTCACAGCACTGGTGACAGGATGAAATATGAGCGTTTGTGCTCATGTTTGCTATTCCGGCCTGACAGAAGGACTTGATTTGCATCAAACCTACCTAAACTCTATTTCTGACCAAACCTGAGCAACCCCATCTGCTCTGCAAAACCCATGGATCCCTGACAGAAACAGGCCTCCTCGCAGAAGGGGTGACCCGCTCTTCTTCTCTCACTTCCCGAGTGGGTAGTGCTGCTCACTGCCTTCAGGAGCCAAAGCAGCAGAGGTGGATTTAATGGTCTAAATCTTAATTTCAGACTTTTCCATCCACAATCGTGGACGTGAGGCCATGCGAGGGAGAAATCTTTTGGGCGTGCTTCTGTCTTTGGTGTTTTCTATCAACTCCCTCAGGTTTTATACCCATCAGACAGCTTCTGTGAGGGCAGTCTAGGAGCCCAGCTCTGCTGAAGCTCATCAAGAAGGAGGGTGCTTGTAGGATTTATACCTCACACCCCACTTCTAAGCAAAACAAGTACTCCCAGGCCTGATCCATAAGTAGGGCTCTGAAGAGAGTTAATGTTTCAAACACTAAATAATCATCAACGTATAAAAAGTATTCTCTTCTTCCAGCCACAAAATAGAAGTCCTTTTCAGAGAGGTTGTGGGATGAGCATCAACCAAAGAAGAAAGATTCGAAGTCCTTAAATTAGAGCAGTATTTTTTTCTTTAAGTCAGTAAGAAAAATGGAGTGCTCATCATATAAATGAGCAGTATTGCCTATTTCACCAGTCTTCACTCTAGATGCTTTCAGCTGAACTAGAGCTGGAAGAATCATATTAAATACATGGCCTAGTACATTTCAATTAAAAAGGTCTATGCCTTTATATACTGAAACAGAAGTACCTCAGTTACTATTACTGACATAATAATAAAGTTATCGACTAGATGTTGTTTTTAATAACTTCATTTACAGCAATGGTTTTGTATAATTCACAAGTGCCATTTCATTTAGGAGCTGGGAAATTCAACTACAAAGTTAGTGGTACTTCGGTCACCCAAATCTCCCCACTCCGATGGCTTAGCTCCATTTTGATACAGGTCTCATGACCCAATTAGCTTGCAATGTAATTAGCATTTCTTTTGTATGTGAATTTCACAAAAGTATTCAGAATTCTACCATTTCTGCCACCTGATAGTCTACCTTCTTAAGAAGAGTAGATATCTGGCTGCATCCAGACTACAGGTAGCACACGTGCAACAGCAGCTTTTGGTATCATGCCGGTTTTAATCATGGCTTTGACTGACCGGCAAGTTAGGTAGCTGCCTAAGAACAAAATGTGTTTTCTTTCCTATAAAAACAATCCTTGGAAGACATTTACATAACAGCCTGAGTTTAAAAACATCATAAATAAACCAAATCTGTGAAAAAATCAGGAAGATAAAAGCCAAAATATCACCTTCCATATTAACATCAGAACAATGATATTTTCTCAGTTCCTTGCAGCTTGTTGCAAGCTTATCATCACATTTGTTCCGTCCTCACAGCATTATTATTTCACCCTTTAACCTGCATTTGGGAGTTCAAATGGTATCTGCTGACCTAGAGGGTCGCCGTATAATTAAACCGCAGGTAAGTGTCAGCCCAAGCCTTACCCACACAATGGCTTCGCCCCTGCTGAATTTAGTCTATTAACGTTTGTATGAGTAGCCTCAACCCAAACCAAAGCATAAGTCTTTCAGAGACGTTATCACATCAGACAGCCATTTACAGTCCTCCCCGCAGCTGCCTGCTTTTCCATGCTTAATTGTTAGCTTAATCAGAGCATAACATAATTCTAACCTCTAACATATCCTTGTTGTTGTTTATATCAAATAATTTCATTTGGTACCTAACACAGAACAGAGGATGATAGAGGTGAGGGGTTTTTTTCACTGGGGTTTTTTTTTTTCATCTTATGCATTCAAACCTTATTAGACAAACCCATTTTTGCACTCTGTATATTCTTTGCTTAAGTTATGTATCGGCGATTGCCAATTTCAAATCACATACAGGGAGTTTAGAATTCCTGAGTTGAAACTTTCTCCAGAAACTGTAAGTTTTCCTTTCAGCTGATGTCTTTGACATCTTTTTCCCAGAGTTTGTAAACAATAGCTGGGGAGATTCGTGTAAGGGACTTACCGTTCCTGTGTCCTTCAGCTTTCAGCTAATAATAGAAAGCAAACACTGTGGACCTAACTG